TAGAAAAATGGACAAAAGGTATGAATAGACCATTTCCAGAAGAAGAAATAAAAATAACCAATAATACATGTAAAAAACTAGTCTACATCTCTAGTAACTGGGAAAATGCAAACTAGACCAACAATGAGATCCATTTCACATATATTAGATAGAAATAACCTAAAAATTTGACTTTGCTGAAAAAGGTCCAAATGGTCAACCCTTGCTCCTTGGAAGAAAAGCAATGACAAACCTACACAGTGTATTAAAAAGCAGGGGCATTTCTTTGCCTCACAAAGGTCTGTATAGTCAAAGCTATGGTTTTTCCAGTAGTCATGTATGGATGTGAGAGCTGGACAATAAAAAATGTTGAGCACCGAAAAACTTCAAATTATGGTGCTGAAGAAGACTCCTGAGAGCCCCTTTGACAGCAAGGAGATCAAAGCAGTCAATCTTAAAGGATATCAACCCTGAATATTCATTGGAAGGACTGATGCTGAAGCTGAAACTCCAATACTTGGCCACTTGATAGGATGAGCTAACTCATTGGAAAAGACCCTGATGCTGGGAAACATTGAAGACAGGAGGAGAAGGGGATGACAGAGGATAAGCTGGCTGGATGGCACCACCAACTTGATGGACATGAGTTTGAACAAGCTTCAGGAGTTGGTGATGGACAGGGAAGCCTGGCATGCTGCAGTCCCTGGGGTCGCAAAGAGACAGACACAACTGAGAGACTGAACTGAATTGAACTGTGCGTGCTAAGTTACTTCAATCATGTCTGACTCTTTGTGACTTCATGGTAGATAGCCCACCAGACTCCTCTGTCCATGGAATTCTCCAGACAAGAGTACTGGAGTGGGTTGCGATGCCCTTCTCCAGGGGATCTTCCCAACCCAGGGATTGAACCCACGTCACTTTTGTCTCCTGCATTGGCAGGCAGGTTCTTTACCACAAGTGCCACATGAAAAGACTTTTGCTCATCCTAGTTGACAGTAATTGCAGCTTGGACTGTCTCTGTATTGCAGCAGTTAATGAATAATAGGGGATATAGTACATGTTTCCCGGTTTGTGCTCCAGTCCCAAAACTCCGTTGGGTTAACCTTACCATTAAATGCAGTGAAGTGAAACCCAACACCTTTCTATGTCCAGTTATTATAAACTGATTTCTGTGAATTGGCCTAACTAAGCTTTGAAAATGTGTTATTGTATGAATAGATGATACAGCTTGGTCTAAGGCTTCCAAGAGAAATATTGAACCAGGAAAAAGAGTGTATGAGAAGTGTTTCTGAGTGAGTCTCAGCAGTTGCTAGTGGCAAGCATAAGTGATTTTTATGTACATGGTGAGCACAGAAGCATGGTTAGTGTGGGTAATCAAGAATTGACTCTGTTTTCTAAGGTGTATCTCCCAAGTGTTATTGTTATGCTAATATTAATAAGGCCCTTAGCAGCCATTTTATTTCTTTAGAATATTAATTACATTCTCTATACATCTATTTTGTACAACTTAAATACAATGTGAAAGGTTTGGATACCCTAGTCTAAATTATGTGACGTTGTGCTGGCTTGGTTTGTTTTTTTTTAGATGGTTCCATATTCCTCATGTCCTATGTAGTTGTTGATAAAGGGGTTTAAGGAATAAAGGATGCAGTGTTCTCTAGTACTATCTTATTCCCTTAGTCTCATGTTCTGTTCATATGTAATGTGTTACAGAGAAACCCAGACAGACCCAAATCCTCAAAGGCATGTTCCTGCCATCCTATTCAGACTGTCTTACCCCACAGATCATGCAGGCTGCGGCCATTGTGGGAGCCATTATCACGCCACACAATATATACCTGTATTCTGCCTTAGTCAAGGTGAGCTAGACCTATCTTATCTCAATAGCCTATGTAATTTCACAGGAATTTTCCTCTAGTAGCAAGTGACACACACTTGGTTTACAACTATTAGAACCATGTAGGAGCAAGATGCATTTCCACAGTTGGACTCCACACAGTTGGACTCTGTTTTTATCACAAAGGTGACCAGAGATAAATGACCCCATAGAGAAGGGACCAAAGTCCTTCTTAAAGATCTGATGGGGCACCATGTCTCCTGTCTTTAAATCTCAGAAGCCTGAGTGGTCTCATGGAGGTCAGGAGGAAAGAGCCCAACTTGGTTTTACCAGTCAGTCCAACACAATCTTTTGCTGGAAGATTTCAGAGGCCTTTGTAATTAAGGTTATCTCCCTGTTAGGTGTGAAATAAGGTTGTTCTTGCAGGACTGTGGTTCTTTAAGCCACAGTAACTGAGGGCTCAGCAATCACTCAGTCATTTTTTTCTGTTTGGAGATGTGTGATGTCATCAGAGGGTCATGACTTCTTACCTACCCAGAGAACCAGGGTGTAAGCAGAGTCTCACCTTTCATGTGGTCAGTTGTTTGCCCTCTAGGACTTTTAGCTGACTCCAATTTGTGAAATATCACAAATAAACTTGTTCCAATTAGTCAAAAAATGACTTTTGCTATTATTTCTCTAGTCCAGACAGGTAGACTGAGCCAGTAAACAGGAAATTTGAGATGCCAATAAAGTACTTTTTCATTGACTCCTGCATTGCTCTGTTTCCTTTATCAACACCTGTGTCATCTCAGTGCTTGCTGCTAAGTCGCTGCAGTCGTGTCCGACTCTGTGCGACCCCATAGACGGCCGCCCACCAGGCTCCTCCGTCCCTGGAACTCTCCAGGCAAGAACACTGGAGTGGGTTGCCATTTCCTTCTCCAGTGCATGAAGGTGAAAAGGGAAAGTGAAGTCGCTCAGTCGTGTCCGACTCTTCGCGACCCCATGAACTGCAGCCCACCAGGCTCCTCCATCCATGGGATTTTCCAGGCAAGAGTACTGGAGTAGGGTGCCATTGCCTGCTCCACTCAGTGCTTGACAAAGCATTTTTTTTTGAAAACCAACGAGCAGGTGGTAAGTAAGCCACGGTCCTGGGTAGTGGTGAATGTGAGGGTAAGGAGATGACTGAACTGGGGCAGGAAAATGTGACTCAGGGGAAATAGATCTTAGTGCTGCCCATGAAAGCACTGCCCTGGTCACGCTTTACATTCTGGGACTGTGATGAGGCCCGGACCCATCCTTCGCACCTTTGGACCGGGAAGGAGCTTTCCTCAGACAAAGATTGCTTCCTGCTGTTGTTGGTAGCTTCACATCTGTTTGGCTCTTTTTCATTCCGTTCTCCTTCCTGTTTACCAACTACTGGCTGTTTGCCAGTCTTGCCATTTGGTGATGACAGGTTGGGAGAAGTCAACACACAGAAAACAGAATCTGTGTCTAGACAGCCCGTTTTGTCACTGTGAATTCTCTCTCCTCTTGACTCCTGATTGCCAGTCTAGTTTTGATCACTCCTTTGTTTCCCATCATAGGACCTCTGACTCTTGCCTCTGCTTTGACTAAGGGCTCCTTGTTCTGGGTGTCCTCTCATGGTAAGCCTTCTTAAGGACCCTTATTTCCTGTCACCATTTATAATGACCCAGCACTGACGTATTACTCTGCACACTCTAACTCAGAAGTTTCTGATGACCTGGGGGTGTAGAAAAACTATGGAGGAAGCGCTCAAGGACATTGCTGCCATCAGTCCCTGTTCACTGTCTCGCCTGCAGCATCCGTCTCTTAGATGATCTGTCTGTGTGTGTCTGTAGAAAAGATCTTATCTGAGTTCTGACCTCAAAATTAAAATATGTTCCTAAACTGCTTTGGTTCAAGGTCGCAGTCTGTAAAAACAGCGGCAGTCCCCATACATTGTCTCTGATGAAAAGTCAATATTGGCTGTGCACATCTACGAAGGGGTAAAGCTGTTCAGATGTCTTATATTTGCTCCTGAATCAATATTCTTAGCATGGTATCTGGTCTTTTCCATGGGTTCGCTTCAGAGCTCAGCATATTTTCTCTGGAGTGTCATATTTCCAGAGGTTCAGATGCTAGACAGGCCTTTTTCAATACATGGAAGGGAATAGAAGATCAGCTGAAAAGATGAATTAATTGTATCAGCAATTCCCAAAATTATGTTGAAAGTATATTACTCTACAGGATATTAATTGGGGGTGATTAAAGAAAGTGTTCTTTGTAAAGTGGTCTTTCTTTTATACTTGTTCTCTCCGCCTCTCACCCTTGTGGCTGGAGACTTTATTTATTTATTTAGGCCACTCTGTGTGGCATGTGGGATCTAGTTCCCTGACCAGGGATCATCCCATGCCCCCTGCATTGAAAGCATGAAGTCTTAACCACTGAACTACCAGGAAAGTCCCAGGAAAGTGGTCTTTGTTGGGACCTCTGTCCCTTTTATGCCAGTTACACTGTGAACCTCCAAGAGTAGAATAAATAGTATGTAGCATCTCCAGAATTCATTTGCGCTTTATCTCCATTTCTATTACCATCTTCCAGAATACTGTGTTAAGGAATATAATTTGGGAAATGTGTTGTAGACTTTTTTTTTAATAGTTAACATGTGAGTTGAGGATAAAGGTTTTAGGAGCCTAAAGAGAAGGGAATAGGCTGAGGAGGAATGGGGGCCCATCCAGCAGAATTTAGGTTGAAGCCTCTAGAATGAGGTCAGGACCCAAGTCTAGCTTCTGGGACAGTGCCAGCACAGTGCTTGGTAGAGGTGGGTGTGTGGCCAGGAAGACAGAGAGGTGACACAGAGGAGTATTTTGGGGTGTTGTCTCAGGTGATCTTTCTCCCTTGCCTCTCCAGGGTGTTGTACTGGAGTGTTATTTCTGGCCTGCCGCTCTCTATCTGGGCAGTGGGGATCCTGGCTGCGGGGCAGAGTTCCACCATGACAGGGACCTGTTCCAGCCATTTTGTCATGGAGGTACATGCTGCTGTGACTGGGATGAGAGGAAGAGGACATTGGCTTTGTCCCTTCTTAATCCCGTGCCTTCCTGAACCTCCTCAGACCTTTTTCTGTTTCCTCTTCCAGACATTCATTCTGCTTCTGTGTTTTCTTCCAGGGATTCCTCAACCTAAAATGGTCACACTTTGCTGAATGAGTCTGACCCGCTCTATTGCCATCATCCCCGCTCTGCTTATTGCCGTCTTCCAAGACGTGGAGCATCTAACAGGGATGAATGACTTCCTGAATGTTCTTCAGAGCTTACAAGTGAGGAGGGAGCTGGGGAAACTCATATCCCGTTGAGTCAAGCAGAACTCTATATTGCCCTTAGGTACTAGGCCTAATGCTGGGTGTGGGGAAAATTCAGAGGAATAAAGATTTGCAGTGTTAGTCTACAGTGAATGCGTTGAAATCCCTGGCATCTGAAAGCTTTTCGAAATAGCTTATTCTTTTCTAAGCCTGTTGAATGGAAATTTTAGCTATAGTTACACATAGAACATAAAATTATAATCCAAGCAAACATTAAATATTGTATAGGACACTGTTGGGTTTTATGGAAATTAAGACAGGGCAGATACACATTTTGTAAGGACACCATGAGCAGAACTGACGCTAGGTTCATGCTACAGATTTCCACATAACCCTCCAGCATGTTGTGATGACAGGAATAATTTCTCACACAGTAGATGAGGCAAGATCTACGGTTCCCCTTTGCTAACAGTGCTGCTCTCTGGGGTATTACAGGAGCTCTGGTCTTATTTTTTATATCTGATCTTACTTTTATATCTGACCTTATTTTTTTCTTTTGCAGCTTCCTTTTGCTCTCGTATCCAGCCTCACGTTTATGAGCTTGCGGCCGGTGATGAGCACATTTGCCAATGGATTGTGAGTGTACTTCTGTTAGCTCCCAAAGATGTGTGGGGCAGTGGTGTCTGCATCAAACAAGCCAGTCAGAAAATGAGTCAGAGGGGAACTATGTGCTTTAAGAGGTGACTGCTAGAGCTGCCCCCTCAATCTCTGACTGAGAAAATAGACTGCTGGGGACTTCCCTGGTGGTCCAGTGGTTGAGACTCTGCCTTCCTGTGCAGGGGGTGCCAGTTCTATCTCAGGTCAGGGAACTAAGGTCCCTCATGCCAAAGGTCAAATTAAAAATAAATAAACACAACATCATAAATGAACTACACGTCAATTTTAAAAATCAAAAGAAAATAGAGACTGTGAATGTAACAAAGGGAGACAAAAGCACATTTTTTATTTCTGGGGGAAGCTTTTCAGCTTTTAGTGCTTTAACTCTTCAACTTCAGCCACTGAAGGTTAAAGCATCTTAAATCCATGTTAAATGATCTTGATGAGAAAGGCATAAGCTAATATCTTTTAAATACATCTCTAAAGAACGTGGGCTATTTGAAATGACTTGTTGCATCTCTAGAAACTCATGACTTTGTGCAGTTTTAGGGCTTGTTGCATTTTTAGGGACTTATATGATATGGGTTATTTGATAGTGGGTTTTTTTCCCCCCCTTTTTCCCTATCATTGTGTAATTTTGGCTCATTTAATCTAATCTGGGACACAAGAAGCACTTTTCAGTTTACTTTGAAATACTGCTTACTCCTATCTGGTGGCCCCAAAAGACACAGTGTCTTTTTGTCTGTGAACAGATGGGACTATTCCACCAATAATTGTGCTGAGTCTTTTCAGAGGCTGGAGGATCACAGGTGGTGTCATGATTCTTAACATCTGTTCCATCAACATGTACTTTGTCGTGGTTTATGTCCAGGATCTAGGGCATATGGTATTGTATGTGGAGGCTGCAGTGGTCAGCGTAGCTTATCTGAGCTTGGTGTTTTACTTGGTAAGTCCAGTTGGGAGGGGGTAGGGGCAGTTGAGGTGTGCTAACACTCAGACGAGAAAGGACCCAAAAGAGCACATAGGTATCTGTCTTCAGGTTATTGACACAATTCACATGAAATTGTTATATCAGTTGTGACTAAAGAATATTTTTAACCATAAAATTTTCCCTTGATTCCTAAGTGCTTTCATTTTTCTATTTCTGTCACTCTGGTTTCCATTTCTAATAATTCCTAACCAGAGAATGTAGTATGTTTGAAGAATTCAAAAAAGATCAGCTGTGTAGAAAGTAGAGAGTGGTAAAATATGGAGTTGGAGAAGGGAGCTGTGTCATGTGATTTGAAACTTTTGAAGGGCAGCACATGTGGGTTCACAGCCCTGCCCAGCTCTACTACTTACTAGCTGTTCAATGATAACAAGCTAAATAGTGATATTCTCTCATTGAATTATCCTAAAATTGTTTAAAAATGATGGTTATAAAACACAGCTCCATAGAAAAGGAATGCAGAATTATGTATATGTAGATAATCAAAAAAATTGTCAAGTCTAGAGTAAATTATGTAAAAATGATAATAGCAATTGTCTTGGGATGCTGGGATTATGGATATATTCTATTTTCCAGATCTTCTATCACATTCCTTATATCAGTGAAAAGCCACAATAGCAACAACACATCCACCTCCCTATTCTACACAGGTTTCTCTAAAAAACATAGGGTTGAGGATTAGGGACAGCAGAATTTATACTGTATCTGCTACAAAAAGTGACAAGGCTGGAGGGTGGAAGCTCCCTGCTTATCTTTCTAACACTTACCTAGTTCCCAGGCCAGTATCAGCCACAGGGTAGGTACTTGATTGGGAAAACATTATAGTAAATATTGAAAAATTATGACTTAAATAGATATATCTCTTCTTTTTTCCTCCTCAGTGAACCATGGGCACACTAAGCTTATGACGAGCCTATAATATAGGGACTTACTCCAAGGGAACCCAAGTAACTGAGTATGGTCTTGACAGAAATTGTTTTAAAAATTCACTGTAAGGAGTTCCCTACTGGCATAGTGGATAGGATTTTGGGCTTTCACTTCAAAGTCCCAGGTTCAAAGGAACTGAGATCCTGCAAGCTAGTTGACAAAGCCAAAAAATTTAAAAAAAAATTTTTTTTTTAAGATTGCTGTAGAAGGTAAGGGGATCCTTGAGGCAAATTGGTTATGAAGGTACTGAGTTGTTCTCAGTCAACCTGAGGTTATAGACATTGCTGAAGACCCATTTTTACGGCCCAGGACTGATTTTACACTGAATAACTACTGTTAAGTTCAGGAGACTAGTAGTTCTCAGTCAATCATTCCCCGTATTGAGGAATGGTGTAGGACAGAATAAAAAAAAGGTCTTCAGGGACCTTTCCCAGTCAGAGAAAAGAAGGAAACACAAACCAGTAGGAACAGAGTGAACTGAGTATCAAAATTAATACAACAAAGAGGTTTGCATCTGAGTAGTGCAGTGTGGGCAGTGACGGGGCTAAGAGCGTTCTCCAGAGAAGTTGGTGAATGATGACCGTATTTTATCTTTCAGGGTTGGCAATGCTTCATTGCACTTGGCATGTCCTTCCTGGACTCCGGGCGCACACAGTAGCATCTCTAAAGTCCTGCCGACTGAAGAAGCCACCGGTGGCTATACCATGTAAATACTGTCGGCAGTCACCATCAGAGCCAGTGTGTTTCTGTGGGTGACCCTTTGAACATAGCCAGACGTATGTGCTGCTGCACAGACTTCATTTAGGACTCAACTGTTTGTTGGGAGCGACTTTGTTTCATCTGTTTGAATGATGGTATTACTTTTCTTCCTGAACTCCTAATCTGGGAGCTGGATTAAATAGGATCTTTGAAAACTTGACAAATTCCTTATTGAAAGAGAAATACTGTATGACATCCCTTATACGTGGAATCTTAAAACAAATGATAAAAATGAACTTAACACCAAAACAGAAAGAGACTCATAGACTTAGAAAACAAATGTGGTTGCCAGGGGAAGGGATAATTCCAGACTTTGGGAAGGTCATGTAAATACTGCTATATTCAAAACACATAACAAGCAAGGACCTATTGTATAACACAAGGAACTCTACTCAATATTATGTAGCAGCCTGGATGGGAAGGGGTTTTGGGGGAGAAAGGGAACATGTATATGTATGGTTGAGTCCCTTCACTGTTCCCCTGAAACTATCACAACATTGTTAATCAGCTATACCCTGATACAAAATAAAAAGTTTAGAGTTTGAAAAAATAAAGGTATACAGCAAAAAATAAACAAAAGGCTGCAAAATACTTTTCTTATTCATACTCTTAGAATTATTTCAATTATAAAACAATAAAATCTCAACTAGGGTGGTTTGACCCATATTAAATATAAAATTATGAGACAATCTACCTCTGTCAGGTTCATGATTCTTTTAACTTATTTTCCTTTTAAATTTCTCAGTGGAGGTTAAGAGGTGTGCTGTGCTGTGCCTAGTTGCTCAGTCGTGCCCAACTCTTTGCGACCCCATGCACTGTAGCCCACCAGGCTCCTCCATCCATGGGGATTCTGCAGGCAAGAATACTGAAGAGGGTTGCCATGCCCTCCTCCAGGGGATCTTCCCAACCCAGGGATGGAGATTAGAAATGGACAATAAAGAAAAAAAAGAAAAGAAACATTGAGAAATACACTCTTCCCAACAGCTCTCCAGATATATGACACTGGAGGAGAAGGAATTTGGGGGAAAGGGAAGGATGTGGCAAGGGAGTGGCAAAGATGCCAGGCCTTGGGCAGTTTAGGATCACAGCACTAAGTGAAATAAATTGCTGTTTTTCAGTTGCTCACTCCTGTCCGACTCTTTGCAACCCCAAGGACTGCAGGACCCAGGGCTTCCCTGTCCTTCATTATCTCCCAGGATTGTTTTAAGCCAGCTTTTTCACTCTGCTCTTTCACCTTAATCCAGAAGCTTTTTAGCTCCTCCTCACTTTTTGCCATAAGGGTGGTGTAATCTGCATATCTGAGGTTGTTGGTATTTCTCCCAACAATCTCAATTTCAGCTTGTGATTTATTCAGCATGGCATTTCTCATGATGTACTCTACATGGAAGTTAAATAAGCAGAGTGACGATATATAGCCTTGAGGGTACTCCTTTCCCAATTTTGAACCAGTCTGTTGTTCCATGCCTAGTTCTAACTGTTGCTTCTTGATCTGCATACAGGTTTCTCAGGAGGTAGATAAGGTGGTCTGGTAGTCCCATCTCTTTAAGAATTTTCCACAGTTCGTAGTGGTCCACACAGTCAAAAGCTTTAGTGTAGTCAATGAAGAGAAGTAGATGTTTTTCTATAATTCCCTTGCTTTTTCTATGATTCAATGGATGTTGGCAGTTTGGTTCCTCTGCCTTTTCTAAATCCAGCTTGTACATCTGTAAGTTCTCCGTTCACGTACCACTGCAGCCTGGCTTGCAGGATTTTGAGCATTACCTTGCTAGCATGTGACATTGTGTGATTGAACATTGCCCTTCTTTGGGATTGGAATGAAAACTGACCTTTTCCAGTAGGGCCACTGCTGAGTTTTCCAAATTTGCTGGCATATTGACTGCAGCACTTTGACAGCATCGTCTTTTAGGATTTGAAATAGTTCAGCTGGAATTCCATCACCTCCACTAGCTTTGTTCATAGTGATGCTTCCTAAGGCCCACTTGACTTCACACTCCAGGATGTCTGGCTCTAGGTGAGTGATCACACCATCATGGTTATCCCAGTCATTAACATCTTTTTGTATAGTTCTTCTGTGTATTCTTGCCACCTCTTAATATCCTCTTCTTTTGTTAGGTCCATACCATTTCTGTCCTTCATTGTGCCCATTTTTGCATGAAATGTTCCCTTGGTATCATTTATCTCCTATTTTTATATTTAATATGGATCAAAACCCCATAATTGAGATTAAGCAGAAATTAAGAAGAGGTGGCAAGAATACACAGGAAAACTATAAAAAAAGATCTTAAGTACCCAGATAACCGCAATGGTGTGGTCACTTACCTAGAGCCACACATCCTGAAGTCAACTGGACATTACTACAAACAAAGCTAGTTGAGGTAATGGAATTTCAGCTCAACTATTTCAAATCATAAAAGATGATGCTGTTAAAGTGCTGCATTCAATATGCCAGCAAATTTGGAGAGGCCACAGGACTGGAAAACATCAGTTTTCAATCTAATCCCAAAGACTAGCAATGCCAAAGAATGTTCAAACCACCACACAACTGCACTCATTTCACATGCTAGCAAGGCGCTCAAAATCCTTCAAGCTAGGCCTCAGCAGTACGTGAACCAAGAATTTCCAGATGTACAAACTGGATTTAGAAAATGCAGAGGGAAAAAAAAAAAGAAAATGCAGAGAAACCAGAGATCAAACTGCCAACATTAGTTGGATCATAGAAAAAGCAAAAGAATTCCAGGATTCTTTACCATCTGAGCCACCAGGGAATCAAGACTCATATATTCCTCCTTCTACCCTTTGGAACCTGCTGAAATTTCAATAGTTAACTTTCAGCCTCCTTTCATTTCCTAGGAATTTTATAGACACTCTTAGTGATAGATGAAACAAAAGAAAACAAAAATAACCCACACAAGATGACCTATTAGCAATAAGAACAAAGACAAGACTGAGAACCCTAATTTCCCAGTGTAAGTTTTTACTGGGAACTGATTCTTGTGCTAAAAAATGTAAGTTACTCTGACCTTAAATTAAAAATGAAAGAGGAATTAGACAACAAATATATTTTTATCATTGGTCAACTCTTTTATATTCCATTCTGATGGTATTGAAGATTATAATCCATATTTATTATGTCCATGATATTCCTGATGATACTTAGAGTACTCTTCATGTGTCTCCAGGGGTGAATAAACATTAATTGTTCAATACATACTTGTTAAGTTATCAAAACTAAATGGCATTGGATGGCTGAGACAACAAAGGTCTAGGTCTTCTAACTCCTTATATTGTGCACATTCAAATGCTCCATAACCAGAGAGACTCCCATGATAAAGATGACAATAATAATAAGGCAAAAGGCTTCCCTTTCTGCCTCAAACACTCCACTCTTCAAAGATGTCACTCCCTGTCTTCCTTATATAAACAGGATTCATAAAGACAAGGTCCTCCACTCAGACCCAGCCAGTATCCAACTTTCAACACTATGTAAGTACTAAATTGTCTTTATCCAAAGCTAAATAACTAAGCTTATACCGTGTGTGCGTGTGTACTCAAAGTCGCTCAGTCATGTCCAACTCTTTGCAACCCCATGGACTGTAGCTCACCAGGCTCCTCTATCCATGGAATTTTTCAGGCAACAATACTGGAGTAGGTTGCCATTTCCTCCTCCTGGGCATATTCCCAACCTAGGGATTTAACCAGAGGCTCCTGCATTGGCAATTGGATTCTTTACCACAGAGCCACTTGGGAAAACAAATATTACCTTCAGCTATTCTAAGAACACTCCTCCTTGTGATATCTTTATCGATCCTAAAAGTATTCCTCCTTGTGATAATGCTGGGATGCACTAGATGTATCCCCTGTGACAATGAAGGACTTATTACCCCTGTTTTGAGTGGGAAAGCTGTTGGCCTCAGGCATGAACTCTTACGACTTTCTCAGGCAGCCCACATCAAGTAACTGATCTAGGCGGGAAGGTGAAGATTCACCCCTCTTACCTCAACCCGGGACAGCTCTGATGGTCAGCTCAGCCTGTATCCTACATCACAGCTTAACTTCTCCTGTGCAGACTGCTTCCTTCCCCTTCTTTAGTGTTTTTCTCAAGATCACCTCCTAATAAGACTGCCGCCATCTCAAAGTTGGTTTCCCTTCTTACCCTTTCCTGCATCCAGTAATTAACATATCTGAAAAAGTGATCTGCACTCCTCTACCTAACACTCATTTTTCCATCCTTTTGTGACAGCCCCCCCCCCCACCTCCCATAATGAGAAATTACAGTCTCATTAGCTAAATGAGATCATCGCCAACTAGAGTCAGTGCCAGGGGCCAGCCTCGGCAGGATCCAGGGGGTACCCTCAGGATGAACGGCGTCGGCGAGAGAGAGAGAAGACACGTGAGACCAGCCTTGATAGGGCCAAGTCTGCGAGGGGGAGAGAGAGAAAGAGAGAGAAGAGAATGACCAGACGGGGGTGTTTGCAGGGTCTGGCAGAGTCTGGCAATGCTTAATTTTTTACTGTGGCTTTTATACCCTAAATTAGTACATTTCTAAGGGGAAGATAGTTTAACATTACATCAGCTTGTTCTTCACGAAACCAGGGTGTTTTCTGCATACTCCTTTGTTTATGAGGGTCTTGTACATTATCTTCTGGCCTTGGGGCCTATTGACATTTTATGACCTAGGTGAAGGCAAAGCTGTTTTCCATAATCTATTCTTTAATGAACACAAAGGTCAGTCCTTTTGCAGAAGTTATCAGTTAAATTTATCTAAAAGGTTTACCACACAAAGACTCTGCAGCTCCAGTGAGGCAGCCCCTGTTTAGCATTCCTGGTTAAAATTAACAATTTTAAACTCTTATTTTTCTAAATCTTTAACTATAACCACTTTTAGAATAATAATTTTATGTTCTCTAATAAGGCTTCCTCACCCCCGAAGGGCTCTGTGCCTATTAGGGCC